GTCCATCGCGCTCGTTCATTTTTGACGCGGCGGCCGCGGGCTAGGGCGCCCTCGCAGCCCAAGCAGCACACGCGGTCGCCTTCGGCGACCTCATCCGCATCGCCCTCGATATCCGTCGGCGCCGGCACCCCGAGCAGACGCCCCACCCTCGGCTCGGCCACGTCGATCGCGCTGAACTGCTCCATCGCTATCTCGCTGGCGCAGGATGCTCTGAGAATGTCGATGGTCCTCCTCTTACCCCAGCGTCTCCCAGAGCTCCTGGCCTGGCAGGATGATCCCGATGTGCTCTAAGTTCTCGATGAACTGCTCCGCCCGCAGGTCGGTCGCGGCAGGGTCGCGGCAGCGGAGGGTGGTTCGCCCGCACCTGGGCCCATCCACTTGAACAGCTTCATCCTTGGGTTCCTCGAATATCACCATGCCGAACACCGCCGCCAGCTGTCGCGCGCGTCGGCCAGGGCCCCTTGCTACCAGCTGCCATTCACGTGGTCGCAGTGCTCTGAGCCCCAGCCAAACGTGCGGGGATCGTAGTGTCTGCCATATCTGCCCCCTCGATGGCGCCCCGATCTTGGCACCGCCTGCCCCTTCAATTCGTTTCGCCACTCCTCCAACTAGCGACCTTCCGCACTTCGCGCGCCCAACGTCTAGGCAGTCCACCTGCGCGCCGGCCAGCGCCAGGGCGGGGGTGCCAGAGCGCGCTGAACCGGGGATGATGCCGCGGAAGGCTCTGCTTTTGAAGGCCCGTGGCTTGCGCGCGTGGCAGGACGTTCCCCGCGCGGCCCAGCTCGATCCAGACGCGCGGGGCGCCGCGCCCGGGAAGGGGGGGGTGCGCGACGCAGCCGCGGCCGTCGGCGCACGTGCGTCGGTAGAAAACTGCCTCCATGCACCTGCCGCCCCCTGGCCCCGCGAAGCTCGGCGCGACTTTCTTGGCGGCGCTCTGCGCGATGCCCAGGTTGGCCAACTCCATGTCGAGCATGCAATCGGATTTCGGATTCCTCGACGCGCTCTCCCGCGTCGCCGGGGCGGGGCCACCGCGCGCGTCTGACAAGCGTCGCCCGCGCGCGCCTGCAGCGCGAGGTCCACCAGCTCGGTCGAGACGGGGCCCCTCGCGCAGGGCTCGCGGGGCCTGGCCGCGTCGATCGCGCTGATTCAGTCCGCGACGGGGCTCCGGAAGGCCCCCGGGTAGAACGCCGCCGCGTTCGCGTCGCCCATGCAGGGCCCCACTCGGCCCTTCAAGACGGTGGCCTTGTCGGGGGGCGCCCGCCAGGGAGCAACCTCGCGGCGCCTTTATTTCAGGATGCCGCGCGCGTCGCGCTTGCGCATCCTGTCTGTCGCGCTGTCGAGGGCCTCGAGGTTGACAGATGAAGGGGGCGTTATGCTTGTCACGCTTGGTGTCGACGCTCGGTTTCTTCGCCGTCTTGAGCCTCCAGTTCAGCACGGCCGTCGCCCGTGCGGCTCCTGATCTCGATTATTTGGCGGGTGTCCGTAGTCGCCGCTGGGGGCGCCCCCCTGGGACTTGACCGCAGTCTTGACCCGCGTCTTGCCGGTGACCCACTGTCCATGCAACAGTCGCATCGCAGCCGTCCTCGCTGTGCCATTGCGTGGGGTCTGGTGCGTGCGCGAAATAGTCCCATCCGTGGCAGGCCTTCTTTGCTGTCTTATCCGGGCCAGAACTTCCTCTGCCCAGCATCTCGCAAGCCCGCCAGCGGGAATCGCAAGGGGGGGGGTGCCCAGTCCTGCGGACGTCGATGTCGTCGTCGGCCTCTCTGTCAGCAGGGACGCAACGGCTGCCTGTGCGGGCGCGTGCCTCGGGACTGCAGCGCGCCTCCTCATATAGCACGTCTCGGTCCCCTGGCGATGCGGTCGTATTCGTCAGCGGCCATGGTGATGCCTCCCAACTTCACGGGGGAGCCTGCAGTCGTTTGATCGCAACTCCGCCGCCGGCGTCTCGTGAACTTCTTCACTCGCCAGCACTCCTCCCATCCGTGGCGGTCGTGCGAAGTCTCATTTCCAATCTTCTGTCGATGGTATCGCGCCTGAAAAACGGTTGTAGCATCTCCGTTTGGCCCCCACTTCGTCTGCCGCCTGCAGCCTGCGTATCATCCACTCTTATGATGTTTCACCGTTCCTTGTCGCCTTCAGCAGCTCCTAGTTGCCGCTCTCTCTCTCTATATATATATATATATATATATCGAGGAGGAGGAGGAGGAGGAGGAGGAGGAGGAGGAGGGAGGAGGAGGGAGGAGGAGGAGGAGGAGGAGGGAGGAGGGAGGGAGGGAGGAGGAGGAGGAGGAGGAGGAGGAGAGAGGAGGAGGAGGAGGGAGGAGGAGGAGGAGGAGGAGGAGGATGGGGAAGAGGAGGAGTAGGAGGAGGAGCGAGGAGGAGGGAGGAGGAGGGAGAAGGAGGAGGAATGCAGAGGAGGAGACAGAATGGCAGGGAGGAGGACGGAGGATAGAGGAGCAGCACCGCCACGAGAGGGTCTAGACTGCGAGTACGAACAAACTGAAACTGGGTGCGGCTATCGGCGAAGGACTTCTTGCACGACCGCTCCGGGGGACGCCACCCTACAGCGGACCAGCGAGTAGGAGATAGGGAGAGGGAGAAAGAGAAAGAGAGAGAGAGAGAGAAACAAAACAAGCAAGAAGAAAAACACAACCACACATACACATCTTATATACGGACCAGTACATATGAAGAGAAAACAATGAGGCAACAAGAGATATAGAGAGGAAAGCCAAGTCTGTGTATATATATATATGTATGTATGTATATATATATATATATATATATACATATATATACAGTGAAGAGGGGATGGGCATAATGAGGAGGCAGCGGTCCGCCTCTCACACACGTTTGGCTAGCCACTTAAGACCCTGACCCTCTTCAACCTCCGTCCACACATACCTCCAGCAACGCATGTCCAGAAAGAGGGTCATGGGGGCTATCCCAAAACTCCGACGTTCGTGATATGTTGCCACTTGTTTGGGGACCCCTTCTCGGAGACCGGCTTGTCTGTCCCTGGCGAGGGCCCCCGCGGGCCGAACCCGGCCCAGAACCACCCGTTGCGTTCTCGATCGCGACGCGAGAGTAGGCTTATGTCGGGCGTGTCCGCCTACAGGGGGAATCTTCAACGAAAAATAGAAAATACCCCCAAAATCATCAAAAAATAGTTCAAACATAATCTGGGGACTATTTTGGGGGTGGGTTTTGGCCTTCTTGGGGATATTGAAAATCCTCCTGTAGGGGGGCCCACCCGACATAAGAGTCGGAAGGAGAGCCCAGACTCGAATCGAGAGGTCGGATCGGCGATCGAAGTGGACCAAATCGGCGGACATCGGCAGGCCAGGAAACTCTCCACCGAGAGTCTGGAACCCAGATCGGAACCCGAGGTCGAGACGAATCGGAGTCGGAAGCCATCGAAGTCGAGCCGAATGGAACCGGAGGGGTCGAGGTGAGCCCTGAGCAGGTGGGGGATTAACAATGGGTGTGCCGAACCCTGTCCCCGCCTTCGTGGAATTTCCGACTGGACCGAAAATTGTTGGCCCAACTAGGGGGCATATTCGAGAGGGGCACCAATCCTCAATGGGCGCGCGTTCGAAGAGACCCCAGTGGGTGTATACCTGAGTTTCCCCTCTGTTCTGAGCGGCTTGGCTTCTCGTGGAAGGTCGGGGGTTGGGGGCGAGACGTCGCCTGCGAGGGGCTGTTTCCTCTGCTGAGATGAATGTCGGCTTTGTTAGACCTTATGAGCTTTATAGCGAATTGCTAAGGTGATTACAGCGTGCTCACATCCCTCTTGCAAATCAGCAGCATCATGCTATGGAACCAAAGCTGGTTTATCATGCTTAGCTAAAGTCAGCCTTGACTTTATTAAGTCCACATCAGCTGTATAATAGGTTTAGCGGTTGTTAGGTCGGATATGGTGTAGCGTAGCGTATCTTCCATAGGTGTGAGATCCTTTTTTGTCTTAAATTTACACAGGTGCTCAAAGTAGGTTAACATAGATGCTCGTAACAGGCTAACATAGATGCTCAGAACAGGTTAACAAAAAAAACGGTTTCGCTCAAATTGAGGCTTGGCCTATGCAAAAGTGGTATCAAACAAAGAGTTCGTGTTTAACCTGTAGCTCCCCACGTTTTTAACATGTTACACCATTGCAAACCACACTTCTAAACCACATGGGCATGCACGTTAACATACAGAATTTGGAACTAACATGTTGGGGTCCAGACAACATTTCCGAATGCATCCGTCGGTCAATACATCTCGGGGAAACAGCGCCCATCGGATCTGCATGATCGTTCGGTGGGCTCGACATCAACATGCAGAGCGCGCGCACACATAAACAGGTTCAGAACATGAACTTTGAGGTTGTGGATAAGAGCGGGGGGCATACGAGCGATTAGGTAGTTGATGAGCATCGAGCTAGGCAAATTCGAGCAACAGGGACGACTTGCAGTTGCGTTTGCCATCTGTTGTTTGCAATAGCCTCCTCGGCTCAAAGCATCCGCTGCTGGCTTCCAGCTTCCTGCGCAGCACCATAGCTCAACTTACCGAAGCTTTCAAACGTGAGTTCACAAGGATGCTGGAGTCAAACAAAAAGTGAAGGCGAACGCACATATGGACATGCTAGTGGGATGCCTTCGCAAGCCCAAGTTGGTGTACCGCGTGGACAACATTCCTCCACAATTTTTCTCACGCGCAGTTCAAATCGGGGAGGGCTCTGTTGAGCCCGCACAATGTGCATCGCAATGCTGCTCGGATCCACGCAGCTGGGGCCGACATGCGCCAGCTATCGAACGCCGTGCGCATCGAGCTTGGGAGCAATTCCCCCCTCCGTTGGCAGCACGTGGCTAAGAATAAGTCGCTGGTGGACCGAACCCAAAGGCTACTAGCGCCAATTAATGGCTCATAGCGATACGTTGCAGCCGGGTGCGGACGCACCACGGCTTTTTTGCAAGCAGGCAGGGGTGCAGGGCAGGACGTCTGAGACGGCATTACAAATGGTTGATCCAGATCTGATTGACGTGCAGAAGTTGTGCCAGAACGCGCAATTCAAACTCATGATTGAGAAAGGCTGGGCGTGGGAGGTGGCCCCAAGTATCATTGACGAGCTTTTCCCAGGCTTTGCTCATGTAGCCCAGAAAGCCTTGAACACCCAGAATCACATCGGCACGGAGGTCGGAGAGCTGGAGACTTGCATGACTTTGGCAGCGAGTGCCAATGACCCAGGGATGCGCGAGCTCGCGGGCTGGAAGGACATGGCTGTCGAGAACGTAGTTTCGCTCAACGTGCCGAGCGCAAAATACAGCAAGACCTTGCTTGACTTCGTCGAAAGTTTCGGCGGTGGCGACGGCGCTCCTCTTGTTTCGTTCATGGACTCCGTTGCAAAGCAAATTGCTTGCAACGCTACGCTGGGGCAAACTTTTTTGGGAAGCGCTGGCCCACGCAGTTTTCGCATCGGAGACCAACCTGCGTCCTTTGATTCGGGTGGCGGTTGCAATTGCAAACCTCACGGGGGACAAGGTTGAGGACGGCGCGGCGCGCTTGTTGGTGGAGAATGACGTCGCGAAGCTCGCCAGTAAGCCTAGGATGGCTGAAGCAGATACTGCTGAGCGAATTCTTGACGAAACCATGGGTATCGCAGAGGGGCTCGGCGGCATCGATGCGGCGTTGGAGCCGTTAGGGCAGCTATTCGTGAGGGTTGCGTTGAAGCCCGTGGGAAAGGAGAAGATGGTTCGGAAGGGCAAGGAGTACAAGTGGGACGACATATGCAACGCATTCTTGCGCAGCCTCAGCTGCCTTAAGGGTCAGACCGTCACGTTCGACGAGTGGGCTAAGCATGCTGTCTCGAGCGTTGCCACCTCTGCTGCAGCGAAGCCGACTGCAGCTAGCGCGGCGACGCTCGACGACCAGAAGGACCCGACATGGATTGCCAAGAGGGCTGGGTATTCGGTCGGGCTCTTCGTAGTCCAGAAGGCCATTGCACCTTCGGCCCAGAGGGTTTACACTATCTTCAGCATCGGCCAGACTGTCAACCTCCACGAAGCTGTCAACCGCGACGCGGACCGAGAGCCACACACGGCTGAGATTACCTTGGCCGATCCCCTTGAGCAGCGGGTTGTTTCGAAAGTTGAGCCGCCAAGGCAGATTGACGGTGATCAGCAGCGCCCGCAGCAGCTGTACATCGACAAGCAGAAGGCTGCTTTGTACCGGGCCTTCCTCGAGCTAGATGCTAAACACGTGGGCAAGCATAAGCTGGCCTTCTGGCGGAAGCTGGATGAGGTTCGGACCACGAGCGCGATCAAGCAGTACCAGTGGCACCACTTATCCACATAAGCACGAAGAACGCTGGGTCTGGCATTTCACTTGGCGATCACGCAATTGACAGCGATACCACGCTTGAGTTGTTCGTGTTGCCTGTGGCGAGGCCGCGCGACAATGGTGCCACCAAGTGTCATGAAGCCGCATTTGTGGCTGCACACTGGTGGGTCGGGACAACCTTCGACAACAAGCAAGCCAATATGGCCTCGAGTCATGTGCCACACGGTGGCTTCACGTTGCCTGTGCTGACCAACGCTGTCGACATCGGGCCCAACGTAAAGCTCCAGATGTTCGTCAAGCCAAAGGCTAAGGCGGTGCCGATCCACGAGCAGAGCGCTAGCGCCAAGAAGCAGAAGAAGTCTTGAGCAACATTCAGCATTCACGGATGCTAGTCAGGGGTGTGGTTTGCATCACGTGTGCTCCATTATCTCGAGCTCTATCCCAGTATAGGCTGTCGCGCCGTAAGGAGGGGGTAGTAGATGGTGGGCGGAGGGAGCAGAGGAGAGTGCTTAAGGAGGATATTGGACGAGGATGAGGGTGGAGGCAGAGCTGTTGCCCCGTCGGCCAGCACGAAGCTTTGACGTCGGACATCGTTTTGCGTGCAAGCGGGCATGCAGATCAGCCATGCGCTTTTCCGGCAGTTGATGCAGTCTTTGTAAGCAACCGCACCTGCGCCACCAGAAAATAAAAAACAGTTTGAATAACGCGCCCCCCGATGCCACGATGCGCATTTCATTGTGCGGCTTCAAAATGCATGGGCGAGATGCGGCGAGAGCCGTTGCATTTCATCATCTGATCTGTCGCAGCGGAGCGCGCCTGTGGTGCTTCATCTGACCCATGGCCAGCAACCCTTGGGCATGCAACCGTCCGCCTCATGCATTCCCTTATGCCCGTGCGCTCTCCCCTCTCATTTGTCATTGTGCCCTCGGCGGCGGTTAGGGCGGAACCGAACGAGGACGCGCAAGAGGGGGGGGGGGGGGGCATCGAGGGGGGATGGCGCGTTGTTGAGGACGAGGAGAATGAGAGGGGGAGATAGAGAGAGAGAGAGAGAGAGAAACAAAAAACAATGAAATAACGAAAGAGGGAGAAAGAGCGAGAGAGAGAGAGAGAGCTAGAGAGAGAGAGAGAGAGCCGAGATAACGAAAGTGTAGGTTAGAAGCAAGGCGTAGTGATATGGTCATGCATATGGGTAGATTGCGATACGAAGACGCCCATAACTTGTGCGACGGGTTGTAGCTAATATGCGATGCCATGCGAGCGGCCCTCTTGGGTTCACCATCCGCCGTCCAGGTGCCACCCTGATCGACGATATGCTATGCCATGCCATGCTTACGCAGGTCCTTATAAGGCCCTCGCGGCTCTGCTCATGGCCGTTCAAGGACTGCCCCGGCCAACGACGTGCTATGCCATACAATGCCGATGCACGTTCGCCTCAACTCCCTCCCTCATCCTTCTCCTTGCTCCGTGGCCTCTCTCGATTATATCCATTCTCACCCCGCGGCCTCATGGCGTCGTCCATTTCGCGTTGCATTTCTACGAAGCAATCGAATGTCAGCCGTTTGGCTCAGGCGACCAGGCGAGATAGCATCAACATTTGCTGCCGGCAGCATGCAGAATGCAACGCTTGAGTTTTCCCGCACCGTCAAGCTGGATGGGATAAAACCAGTTTGGGGGATTTTCAAGCCAACTGATATGGCTGCAGTTGATGACGAAACATTTGGCCGTATCTCGCCAGCACAGTATACTTTGAACAGCCTTTTGGCTTATAAAAACGATGAAGTCCCATCGGGACTTGAGCAACAGGCAGTAGTTATGAGCAGGGGGCTGAAGGCGTTGCTAGCCCAGCGGAATGATCAGCAGTCGGCCGAGCTCACGCAGGATCACACCCAGCCCGCGGGCAGCTTGTTTAAAACGCCACCGAAGCACACGAAGATCGTGAGGCCCCATGCCCAGAAGGCTGACCTGAGGCGGGAACCTGATGTCATGTGCATGGACGTGGTAGTGAACGAGCGTGTTGTTCACGTTGGCGTTCTTAGGCCAATTCATCCATGTGACAACCTCTTCGTTGTGTACAAGCCTGATGCTTTGGCTGCGGTGCTTCACGTCATGAGGAACATGGGGTTCGATGAGCCGCCGAAGCGAGAGCGCTTGCCTGATTTGCCCAAGGGTGTCCACAAGAGGAACGGCTTCGTACTTGCCAAGTAGGCAAAGCACGATGGGTCGAACGGCTACAAGAAGTGCAAGACCGTTGAGGATGCTATCCAGTTCCTAGTGGCTGGTCACCACGAGCAGCACGAAGATGCTCAGTACGAAGAGGTTTCGCCGAGTGAGCTTCCCGACGGCAGTGCGCCTGTCGGCCTAGAGCCAGTCCATGGCTGACAACGTTGCAAGTATACATACTAAGCCAACAGGCTGACAGCACCCGCATGATTGGGATCTGCGGGCTTCGCTATATGGATTCGTGAGTTGCCGATTAAGAAAACACAGGCACTCATTGCTCATCCAGCCGATTTGATGCATTGATGCGTTGCTGTTTGGACCTTTTTTTTTTTGGGGGGGGGGGGGGCACCATCGTGGCATAGCCCCTCTGGCTCAGCAGTGCATCGCGCCATCGCAAGCAATCTCATCAAGCCGATTGGCTTCGTCTCGCCATCACGCCATGGCGCCCAAGGCGCGCCAGGACAGCCCAGCGGCGCTGAAGCAGAAGCTCGCTGACATGCGGGCCGACCGCAACCGCCACAAGGAGCGCGCGGACGCGCTGGAGAGGCTCGTCGCCGTCATCGCCAGTAAGAGCGAGGCCAACAAGCACGTGAACATGATCTTCGTGGACGTGCGCAAGTTGTGGGCCTCGCGCACTGGCACCGAAGTGCAGTGCAAGCCGACGGTGCTCGGGCGGCTCAAGAGGCTCCCGCATCTCCCCGACGTCGTGGAGGCTAAGGACACGGGCGACGACGGCGACGACGACTCGTCCCAGTGAATGCCTTCGGGCTCAAGCTCAGCGAGCTAGCTGGCTGTGCAGCTGAGAACGGGCTGCCCGTGGGCAGCGACTGCCGCGGTGGACAGTGATCGTTGCTGTGGGCTGTTGCCGCTGTAGGGCGAGCGCCGCCCATGACGACGCCCACAACGGCCCATGAAGATGCCGACAATAACGACCACAGACCACCGCCCATAAGCTTCAGTAGCTCATTCCTGAGGTGCCATGCGAGTTCCCGCAGCATGGTGCGCGCCATATAGTTGAGAATATGTTCTTTTGTTTGCATCACGTTGTGCTGCTGATCCTGTTGCGGATGAGGAGGAGAAGGGTGGATGGGGAGGATGAGGAAGAGTTTCGCGACGCATGCACCATGAATTTGAGGCGAACCTCAATATGCTACGCTGCATGCAATGTTATGCTATGCGTTTCGCTGGCGTTTGTAAAGCAGTGTTGCTATATAGGTCCACCCTAACCCCAAACCCAGCATGGTCTCAGCAATCAAGCTATTTCAGATCGCATGTGCCGCCGTTCTCCTCACCCGCCCCCCCCCTCCTTCTCCTGGCTCCGCGCCCTCCCTCACTCATCTCACGGGGTGGCCACCCACCTCGCCCCTCCCCCCCCCCCCTCCATGTATCGTCAGCGCGAAGCCGGGGGAGGGGATGGACAAGAGTGCGAGCTGCACTGCAGCGCGAGGAAGGCTTCGCCCCACAAGAAAGTGTAGACACTTCAATCAAAATCCCCCATTAAAGTCCACAAGGAGCGCCCGCTATAGGAAAATGAGTCCGGACATATGAGATGTCATGGCGGCTGCTCAAACCTGAGGTTATGACATGCGCGTGGCCCGATTCAATGATATGCTATACCGTGGCGTTCTAGGACGCGTTCAGCATCACCCATACCCCAAACTTCATAATGACAGTTTGTCAAACAGTTGCATTCAATGTACGTGTGTTGTCGTTCTCCTCACCCACCTCCCGCCTCCTCCTTCTCCTGGCTCAGTGTCATCCCTCACTCGTCTCATGGGGTGGCCCCCCACCTCGCCCCTCTCCATGTGTAGTCGCCCACAGCAGGCCACATGCAGCATATGCCACGCAACCGCATGACAAACATGCCAAGCATGATGGCAAGCCACAGGCCATGGACATGGGTAGCCCTCGACGCCCTTATAGAGCCATAGCGGCACCCGATGTTAGGTCTCACTGTGGCCTCGGGCGTCAGAAACCCCACGCGGCCAACGCCGCGCATCCAAGACATGTGGCCCCGATGGTCCCCAACCCAGGTCTGACTTCCATGCCCCCTCCCCCGCGCCTCCTCCCTCCTGACGCCTCCTCCGTGGCAGCCATTTTGGCTGCAAGCGCGAAGCCGTGCTTCGCGCAGCTGCTGCGTCGCGGAGGCGACCGCGTCGCGGCGGCGCCTGCATCGCGGAGGCGACTGCATCGCGGAGGCGACTTGCGTCCGCGAGGGCGACTGCGTCGCGGGGGCCTTCGCATCGCGGGGGCGACTGCATCGCGGAGGACATGACATATGTCTTTCGCAAGGACTTGATGCTCGAGCGCAGGCTGCAGCGCCCGCAGCGGCCCGATGGCCCGCCGCCCACCAAGCTTCGCCTCACCGCGGCTGAGCCTGCAGCGCTGTGCGATATGCACCCCTTCGACAAGGTAGGGCAGGCGGAATTCAGTCCGTTCAGGCACGCCCCCTTGGTCGCGATGACGGACGACGTGGCCAACTCCGAGTTTCTCTCGTCGTGCGACGAGGCCACCCTGCGGAGCGTGCAGACGTGCTCGGGCATCTACGCCAACACTGGCGTCGAGCACGGTGGCGGCTACGCGTGGAAGAGCGCCCACAAGACGGACATCCGCGGCGAGGCCGCCCACGTGCACATCTTCCGCACCGGGGGCGGCTGGCACGGCAGCGACGCGATGTGGTCGACCGTTGCTGAGAAGAAGAAGTGCCAGTATGAGGCCAACATCTTCTTCTGGAGCGACAGCTCGGGGGCCGAGTTCGAGGATGCTCCGACGACGGCGTTGCACTTCCCGTGGTGGACCTCGTCGGAGTCCGACGGCGTGCAGATCATGAGCGACCAGGCGGCGCACGAGGCGCTGCTCCTGCAGAAGCCCGACGCCGGAGGCGACGCGGACAGCTCTGGCGCCAAGAGCGCCACGGGCAAGGGCGGTGGTGGAGGCGGCGCGGACAGCTCCATGGGCGGCGGTGGAGGCGACGCGAACAGCTCCATCATGGGCGGCGGTGGAGGCGACGCGGACAGCTGGAAGGGCGGCGGGGGGGCGACGCGGACAGCTGGAAGGGCGGCTGGAAGGAGGCGCCGCGCGGCAAAGGCGGCCATGGCGGCTGGATGCCGAGGTGCGCAACCTTGATCGGCCGCTACCAGAGGGCCGACTACGCAGCGTTCGAGGAGAACACCAGGAAGCTCAAGGAGATTAGCGTGGCGCTGCGGAAGCTCCTCGGGGAGCAGTAGGGCCCTCATAGCGGTTCAGCGTTTGACTACCGAGACTTGGTAGTCAAACGCAGGACCGCCTCCAGAAGGTCCGCGCTCCGCGGCTGCGTCGCGGGAGCCTGTCGGGCTCGCTGGGGCGCCTCCAGGGGCCGATCAGATCAGAGTCGGCATTCATCTCAGGGGGTGGAGTTCAAGCCCTGGCCCCGCCTCTGTTCGAACACCCATCGGCCTCCAAGGAGGCCTATACCCAAGGGGCAGGAGGGCCATGGGGAGGGATGGCGAGGGTGACAAGGGTGGGGAGGAGGAGGGGGAATGAGGATGACGAGAGGGAGAAGGAGGATTGGCATGCCCCCCTGTCGGCCCAATCGGGCCTCCCCCGCCCGCCCCCTCACCCGGCCCGATGGTCTCTGGATGCGACCCCTTCACTTATAGACAGGCACTTCTTTGCCATGGAGCGCCGAGCCACATGGAAGTGGTTGGTCACGTTTCGCCAGGGGATTTGCATTTAATAAGTTGCGCGGGAATGTGGTCCTGAAAACTCGTGTGATGGCTCGGCGCAGGCACGTTCGATCAGAGCATCTTGCCCTGCGCATGGCAACAGCGCCAGCGCTGGGCCGCGGCCCGTGCGCCGCTGGAGCACACGACGCAGGCGCGTCCCCCATCGCCGCCCGCGCGTGTCGCAAGCCCCCTCCTCGTCCTCCTCCTCCCCCTCCTCATCCTCCTCCTTCCCCCCTTCCATCCTCCCCCCCCTCTGCCTTCGCCTCCTCCTCCTCCTCCTCCTCCCCCTCCCTCCCTCTCGCATGGTAGCTCCTCCTCCTCCTGCCCCTCCTTCACCTCTCCCCCCCCCTTCCTGCTCCTCCTCCTGCCCCTCTTCTTCCTCCTCCTCCTCATCCTGCTCCTCATCCTCCTGCTCTTCCTTCGCCTCGCGCCCCTCCCAGCGCCCCCCAGCGCGCCTCTCGGCCCCTTGGCCACCGGCCGTGCAGCGCGCGCAGAGGGGGGGGGCGACGAGGACGACTGAGATGATGGCGACGAAGAGGATGCAACTAAGGATGATGAGGGGCGGCAAGGACAAGGCGAATGAGGGGGGGAAAGGGGGGGGGGGATGATGAGGGGGAGGAGGCGGGGGAGGAGGGGGCGGACGGGGAGAGCGCTGATGATGATGGGGGGGAGGGATGATGAGGATATGAGAGAAGACGTGGGATGATGATGAGCGGAATGAAGATATGGTGCTGAGAGCGGGCGATGGGTAGGTCAAGGGGGAGGGGGGGTGAGGGGGCATGGCGAGATGAGGATGAGAGGAGGTGTGGTGATAGGGGGACGAAAGGGAGGATGCGAGGATGATGGAGGGGGGCGAGGATGAGGGCGGGGGATGAGGAGTAGGTCGGGAGGAGGGAGGTGAGACGAGGACGAGATGAGGGATCGTGAGATGAGGATGAGAGGAGGAGGGGATGAGATGATGACGATAGGGAGGATGAACGGAGGATGGACGGGAGAAGGGACAAGGAGCTCCTAGGAGGGGGATGAGGAGGAGTGAGGGGAGGATGCACGTCGTCGTTCTTCTCACCCACCTCCCTCCCTCTTCTCCTGGCCCCGCGGCCTCTCTCGCTCCTCTCATGGGGTGGCCCCCCACCTCACCCCCTCCATTCGTCGTGGTGCATGCCGCGCTATCTCGCGGCGTGGACTTAGGGGGGTGATACGGGACGAAAGGCAGTACGAGGATGATAAGGCTGAGGAGGAGGATGACGCGGAGGAGGGTGGAAGAAGGATGGCGATGAGATGGAGGATGAAGGAGACGGGGGTGACTTCGCGATGATATGTTAGCCCGACGCTTGACTATGGTGTGCATGCGTGCGGCCAACACCGCAGAATGCAACGCTGTGCTATGTTCTGCTATGCAATGCACTAGTCGCTTCGAAACCACTTTAGTTCAGCTTCCGCTCAAAACTTCAGACAAGGTCACCGCTGTCAAAAAATCGTGGTCCCCCCTACCAGCCTTGCTCCCTCTTCTCCTGGCTCCGCGGCCTCTCTCGCTCATCTCACGGGGTGACCCCCCACCCCGCCCTCCTCCATATTACGTAAGAAGGCAATGTGGGATGCCACAGAAACAGAAACACTACGATGATAACGACGACGACGCGACGGTGGGGCGATGACAACGAAAACGACGATGATGTTATTTGCAGTGCCATCTCAGTTCGCATATGCCGTCGTCCTCCTCACCTCATTCACTCTTCCTTCTTTTGGCTCCAAGTCCTCCCTCGCTCATCTCATGGGGTGGCCCCCCACCTCGCTCCGTCCACGTCGCGTCGTTTACATTGTAGGTCGTGCACACCAAAGCATGGCGCAACGCAGTTTGAGCGTCGTGTGGTTGCACGACTACACGCGTTTTAGTTCAGCATTCTTTCTTGGCGTCACATTGCGCTCCCATGCGGCTTGCCAGAGCATCTCGTCCGTCACCGTTTGGCTCACGAGCTTGCTGGCTTGTACTGCCACGAGCCCGGAGGCTGACCCACGTCGCGGCTCGGTGGCCGACGTGCTCAAGCCGAATGGCTAGTCCAAGCTGCACCTGCAGCTCACTCGTAAAGGAGATCACTAGCGTGAAAGCATGTTTTCACGGCTCGCGGCGATCTCATCAACAGCTCAGACGCCATGCTCCGGAAGAGCTTTGTCGACACCCGGATCAGCATGCTGAATAACATCAAATGCTTCGGGCCAGCCAGGGCCACCCAGCTCGTCGACGCTTTGAGGTGTGAGCCGTGCGGCGCAGATCACACCAAACGAATCATGTCTATCATCGACGCCAAGGTCGCCCAGAGCAGCGGCTCCATAAAGCCCGAGGGCTCCAATAGCAAGCAGTTGCTTAAGGAGTGGTGGTCGTACTTAAGGAAATCGCACTGGGAAGTGATCAATGACCCCGAGATTTCGCTGAACCGCAAGGTGACGACAATGGTCGAACGCGGTATGGCGGTTGGTTGTATTGAGCCTTCTGAGCAGACGTACAAGTGGGCCCTAGCAACGTTGCTTGTCACGCATTACGACACCCCACCCGGGCCGAAGAAGGTGCACAGCATGTTGGTGGACTTGAAAACATCGTTCAAATCATAGAAAAAAGATTTCGGCTTTACTCGCATCATGGGTTACCCAGATTCGCCATTCGATCTCCCGCCCGACATATTCCAGGCCGCCTACCCTGGCGATGATCAGCCAAGCAAGATTGAGCTCAAGGGCATAAATGCAGCCGCTGACAAGATATCGCTGCGCTCCGCCAGAGGCCTGCTGCAAGCATCTATTGACTCAGATGCTAAAGTAAAGTTCCAAGAAGCAAAACAAGAGGTTGGTTGCGCCCGCATCCAAGACCCAACAGCGCCCGCAGCCGACGCACATGTGGCATCACCAGCAGGGGCCCTCGTTCCATCACCGGACGACCCGTACGAGATGGGATTGTTTTACGAGTACCAGCAAAAGTTGCTTGACCACCGCAAAGAAATAAGCCAAGCGGCTGCGCAGGGCCTTCCAGCGCCTCACATGGAATCCGAGCAGCGAAGCAGCTCGGCTATCCACCGCGCGGCTGATGGGGCGCTAAAGGTGCAACCAGCCTTCAAACATGAGCCGCGTGTCAAGCGTGAGCCAGAAGCGAAGCGTGAGGAGCAAGACGCTGAGGAGCAAGACGCTGACAAGGGTGGGCGCGGCACCGCCGATGATGACGACGGACCGCGCGAAGAGGACTTGGACCCCCGCACCCGCGCTGCGATCCTTGCCCTCAAGAAGCGCAAAGCCAAGGCGAAGGAAGAAACGAAGGCGAAAGCCTTTGCTAAGAAGGGAGCTGCTGACGCAGCAAAAGAAACCACGACACTGGAGGTCAAGGCTGAGGCGCCACCACGGAAACGCCCAGCAGCAGCAGCTGTTGCCGTCAAGCACGTGAAGGCTGCGAAGGTCGAGCCTGCCGAGGCTGCAAAGGGCGGGGGCAAGTCCAGGGATGCCGACTTGAAGCCGGTCCTGAAGTCTAAAAGCATGGGCGCTATGCCGTCGTTGCCAAAGGATGGTTCGACCCCCCCGCCAGTGGCCTACAAGCAGGGAATCATCTACGCTAGCGTCAAGGTCAGGCGCGCCCGTGCCCTCAGGAAGCGCGGCGATGCATGACGCTTTGCGTATCACCGCCAGCCATCGCACCCCTTCGTCTGGATTGATTGCGAGCATGTTGGCGCGCCGATGTCCACCCGCCCTGAAAAGCTTGATTCAGCTAACAACGGCGATGCGTTCGGCGTCTTGGGTACGTCGGGCCACGCTACCTCCACCCAACCATGTTGCGACGCCGTTGCTGGTCTTATTGGGAGGGGGAGGGACGGTATGTCATAGCTCCTCCGCGTGAACTCTTGGTGTAGATTTGGCAGGTTTGTTTTGCGATCACGTTGCCCGATGGCCGCGACGTAAACCTCCGGGGCCACCCACTCAACAGCCACACTCCCGCCCCCCCCCCCCGCGCCCTCCTCTAAACCGTCAGCCCCCCTCCGCACGAGCGAAATCTCGGGCGCCACTGTGTCCAATCAGTCCCCCCCCCCCCCCGTGTCCAATCGCAGGCCGCTGTGTCCAATCAGTCCAATCTGTCCAACCAGTCCCCCTCGAAGGCCGCCGTGTCCAATCAGTCCAATCAGTCCACCCTCCCCTCCTGCCCTTCACCGCTGCATGTGCGTTCCACGCCTTCACCTCGTTCGTCTTGGGATCGGGTCGTCGATTGGCACTGCTGGCCATGGGCGGGCGGGGCGGATGGTGTAGGTAACAAGAGAATAATGGCACATAATACGCCTAAAGCCTCGCGTGGGCTGGTCGGGCCACTACTCCGAGAGCTCCACAGCTTGGGGGGGCCTAAGCCGACCTCTGAGGCGTGGGCTGCGGCAGTGAAGGCGATCGACGACGCCCAGGATAAGTCATGAGACGCGCATGGTGCCCCTATAATATATCCAAGCTTTTCGCCGAACATGCAAGCACTCCGCGCTGCGCCACTTAACGCACCTGGCTGTCGAGAACGAGTCGTGAAACATGTCAAAGAAAAAGCATGCATGCTCGTCGCGTCGTCAGTCGCGCACCCTTGTTATGAAGCAATTGCTGGCGTTCCGCCCGTAGCCCGTTTCTCTCAGCATGCAATCGGGTCGTTCAGCGTTTGGGGCCGTTTCGGATGGAGCCGACGCGGGCTGCTAAGCTGCGCAGGCTGAATGAGTTCCGCCGTACCAAGCCTCACTGTGCAGCTTCTGCCTTGGCTGCAATTCTGGAGGACGCGAGACACAATGGGACCCCAGAGGTCATAGATCGGAACTCCACGCGGGCCGCGAGAGATGTTGTTACCACAACTGTCGGCGAATGCGGCCCCGTTTTGCAATCCTGCGCGTGTATTAACGCAGAGGACGAGCCAACTAGCATACCCATCGCCTGCCCGTTCGCATTTTTAGCGGCAGCTGTCGAAGAGAGCGCGCCATTTCGGAAATTCTTGAAGCGCCAGCTGATGCTTCCCCCGTCGACGCCAGCAAAGCCATGGAACTTGATTTTGTATTCCGACGAAGCTACCCCAGGGAACCCCTTATCACCAGCGAACCAAAGAACGTTCCAATCTATAATCTGGAGATTCTTGGAATTTGGCGTGAGCGCGCCCAGTCACGAAGAGAGCTGGTTTGTGTTGATGACTGAGTTCTCCAAATATGGTTCTTCTCTTTCTGCTGGGTTAAGCCAAGCATTCGCTGAGGCTACCAAATGCTTTTTTTCAAGCCTGATGGCTTTCATGTCAAAGACGGTGGCATGGCCCTTGACTTAGACGGGGATAGCTTCAGGCTGCTTGCTAAAGTGGGCGCGGCGTTGCAAGGCGGCGGCGCCCATAAAACTGTCTGGCAAGCGTGGGGCGACAGCGCGTCCAAGTTCTGTATGCTTTGCAAGAACATATTCACACCTGGTTCTAAGGTTGTTGACGAGGACGGTTCAGCAATGTTGCGCTGCAGCGAATTACATCTCGATCAGCTCGTGGCGTCCACGGACCATGAGCTTCGCGCGAACGCGAGGTATCTGGAACGCATGGCGCTGACCTTGTCCAATGATGACTTTGTGTTGTTGCGGCGAGCATTGGGCTTGACGTTTGCTAAGCGGGGCTTGCTGCTCAATGGGGCGTTGGACAGGCTGGTCAACCCAACAGAGGTGTTTATGCATGACTATATGCACGCGCTCTTCGTCGACGGTGTCGTGAATCTGGTGATTTGCCTTACGTTCGAAGCCTCCATATCTGATGGGCTTAAAGGCGTGTGGGAGTCATTCTCGGAGTTCTTGGCAAAGTGGGCGTTTCCTGGGCGATTTCACGCTACACATTTAGATGGCATCTTTAATGCTGATCGGGAAGACAAACACAGAAAGGCACAACACGCCAAATGCCAGGCATCTGATGCAATGCCTATCCTTGGCGTGATGGCGTTGTTCAGTCAGACGGTCCTGCGACCCATGGGGGCAGCCAACGCAGCTTGCGACGCTATGATAGCTTGCGTTCAGCTGTCGGAGCTGGTAGTTTCAACCAGTCGGACCGACGTGAGCCCAGCGAGGCTTTTGGATTGAGTTCACAAGTTCTTGGAACCATGTACTGCCGCTTTCGGGTATGAGTGCTTGACGCCCAAATGCCACTGGCTTCTCCACCCCCGTGAGATACTTGAGAAAAACGGGCGGTTCTTAAATTGCTTTGTCCTTGAGAGGAAGCATAGGATGCCAAAGAGATACGCCAGCGAATTGGCGAACATCTCTGGATCAGCCAGCAAGTCGCTGCGGAGCGAGTGCGTCTGCCGTAAACCGCCACAGCTGTGATTGCGATGTCGGCTTGGCGCAGGGACGCAAAGCCCCAAAGAAAAGCAGACAGCTGATAATGGACGCATTGGGGCTGGAAGGCGATGATATCCCAGCCAACGTGGGCACATATTCTCGCTTCAGCCAGCTCGGCTTATGCACTCAGGGGGGGCGTTGTGCTTCTAAATGGCCCCGATGGCATACTGGCCGCCCGCGTGAAATTGCATTTCGAGGTCAGTGGAGAAGCTGTTTCTATGATGGAGGTCATGGAGCTGTCTCAACGCATCCGTGGTACTGCAAAGGCAGTGTGAAAACCGTCTGGGTCTCCAGTGCAATGCTGGGAGACTAAAGCCATCTTGGCTGCAGTAGCTCACTGCGTATACGCAGACGGCACCGTCGGCACCATTCTGCCCGTTAGAGTTTCAATGATGGGATTTGGTGACGCGTCGCGCTCAGGAAAAAACATTCGTATACGCTGCGCGCGCAGCCGCCCAGCCCATCCAGAAACGATGCCTCGGCGAACGCCCACGTTTAAGCCAGTGCGGCTGAAGGCAACGAACAGGAGGAGGAGGATTAGAAATGAGGAAGGAAGGCATGCCTGCTCCGCTTCTCCTTCATCCTCCTGTTTCTCCTTCTCTTTATCCTGCTCCTGCTGCTCCTCCCCCTCCTCCTGCCCCTCCTCTTGCCCCTCCTCCTGCTCCTCCTCCTCCTCCTCCTCCTCCTCCTCCTCCCTCCCCACGTCTAAAGCGATCAAAGACATGCCGAAATCGAGGCCGAAGGCGGCATGGGGCGGCGGCGCCGCGCCGAAGGCGTTGAAAACTGAAGTTTAGCTCATATCAAGTGGTGCAACCAATGTTGTGCTACATCTGTGGTGCAACCTATGTGGTTCATCCTTGTGGTGCAACCTACGTGGGGAAACCTACGTGGTGCAACCTGTGTGGTGCAACCTGTGTGGGGGAACCTATGTGGTGCAACCTGTGCGGCGCAACCTATGTGGCGCATCCTATGTGGTGCAACCTATGGCGCATCGATGCCTATGTGGCGTGGTGCAACTTATGTTGTGCAACCGACGTTTGTGCAGGAGAAGGAGGGATAAGTATGAGAAAGCAGTAGTTTCATAGTTTGCATATCTCGACGGCTAAACGTTTATAAAGTTTGTAGGTCCGTTGCTGATAAACGCATGATAAACTTTATAAGTGCGCTAAACTTTAGCTAGACCTCCTAAGCCTTAACAAACCCAAGATGCATCTCAGTGGCGGTTTGTGCCCACGGTCACCGCATCCGCGGCAGCGAAGGACGGCCGCACACCGCGACGAGCTGCACGCCGGCCCGGCGCGTCCCCGAGGGGCAACGTTACGGGGGGGCACTGGCGATAGGGGAGAAATGGGGCCCTCGGTACCCAGACTCCCGACGTCATGATTTGTTCGGGAGCGGCCAAGAGGGGGGTGTCCCAGAGGGGGGGGTGCAAATCATGACCGGCGGCATGTGCGCGGCCCAGCGGGGGGGCCAGGGAACGTCATGAAAAAAGAAGGGGCGCCATGAAATCTGGGGAGATATCATGGCCCACGCCATGATATCCCACCCCCCCTAGTCATCACCCCCCTCTTTGCCGCCCCCGATTTGTCCATGACGCGACCCCCAGAGGTCCGAATCCATTCCCCGGGACTGCTTTCTCGTCCTGAGTCGTTTTGTGAACGGCCCCCGCGGCCACGTAAAGGCCCTCACAGGCCGAACATGGCGGACAAAACACCGTCGTGATTTTTTGCCATGACTCGAGGGGGTCTGGGTAGTGAATCCGCATTCTCCTGGTCGGGGTAGGAGCAAGGAACGGCGACAACACCAACAGGGCGAGGAGATGCGCGGAGACAAGGGGGGGTCTACCTGGTGGTGTGGTCCCCTGGAGGCCATCCCGAGGCTGGGGATCCGCCGAGAACGCACGAGCACGCCCGAAGACCTCGAACCTCGAAACTTCGTCCCTCTTGACGGGCGGACCCAAGAGGCATCGATACCGCTACTCCCCGGACCTCCCCCGGGGTGCGCTCTGACTAGAATTTCGAGGCCAATCCAACGGTGACGACGATGGAACCCCGAGGCAAGGCCAGCGGCATCGCTACCGTTTCTTTCTCAGAATAATTACAACTTCGTCCTTCCTGAGACCCCCCCTGACCCAGATCCCCGACGTCAGGACTTTTCCATGGCGCGACCCCCGGAGGTCCAAACCCAGTCCCCGGGACCGGCTTTTCGTCCCGAGTCGCTGTGCTGACGGCCCCGAGGCGCCCTATAGGGGCCCCTCTCGGAGGCCGGAGACTGCGAAAACCTCGCGTCGTGACTTCTGCCACGGCTCGAGGGGGTCTGGCAGCGTTGCCCCCCGGAGGCCGCGACGGGGCCGCACGCCCGCGGCCGCGCGCCCCCGCGGGCGGCGGGCCGCGGCAGCCAGCCGCCCCCGCGGCGGCTTGAGCGGGGGGGGGGGGGGAGCGCCCCGGACCTCCCAGGAGGGCCAAAAAAATAGCACGAATCCCTGTCGAGGTTTCAGGCAGCCCAGATGGGTCTACAGGTCTGCGAGGGCCACTTTAAGCACTCTGAGAGGTCAGGGGAGCGCGGCCCCGGCCCAGCGGCGGAGACGGCTGCGGCCAGACGGGCCACGGGCTCTGCCGCCCGCGGCCTCCCCCCCCACCCCCCAAGGGATCCTGGTGTCGCAATTTTGATCACAACGGGCGGGCGCTTTCGCTCACAGGGCGTTTTGCTCTTGTCTTGCACAACTCTCCTCTCGCGACGGGCATTTGTTTCGCAGCGGGCGTTTGCGCTCAGCTTCGGGCCCTGCAGGACGCTCACAGATCGGTCCGGCTCGAGGCTTGACGCAGAGGAATGGGGTCCGGGGCTCCCGTCGCGACTTTTTGGCGATGTTGCAATTCAATTCTTGCTGTGCAATGTCGGATCTCAGGGTCTCCCGCCCACGTCTCCGCTGGGGCTGCGGAGGGGGTGAGCCAGAGCCCCGGATCACCACCCACCCAGAGATCCGACGCACCGATAACATTGGAGCGAAGGGTTTGGGTCGTTTTCGGCCTCGGGGCAAAAAAACTTGGCCTATGGAAGCGGTCCAGACCTCTAGCGCCCACGCATCGGACAAACATTCGAGCAGCAGGATGTCTGTGCAGACATGCGCGCGTCCTGAGAGGAGAATCAGGAAGGGAATGTTTTGGGCGGTTTGGGCGTTTTGGGCTTCTGGGGGCCCGTGTCCGGCACCGTCAAAAAACGACTCATGACGAAAACCAGACTCGGGAAAGGACATCGCATGTCTGGGCAGGACTGGGCGTGGTCAGAGGTAGCTGCAAAATCGTGCTTCGGCGTCTAACTCCTGGTGCGTGTGTCGGGGCCCAAACTGGAGCTACCCTGGACAGGAGTAGTTCCAGGTATGCGCACGAGCTCACGAGCGGCGAACGTATTAGGTTGCAGGGCGCGATCTCGCGGATGCGCGGTCGCGCGGACACGTTCCGCGCGGGGCATCAGCGGAACAACGCCCCACATCCGCGGGGCCGCGGCCCAGGGGCCCGGCCTGCGAGGCCGCTGATACAAATATGCTTTTCGCCCACGACGAGGACGAGTCTGAAGGTCGCCGACCGGCGGCCCGGCAAGGGCGGCAGGCGCACCAAACGCGCCTGGTCTCCGGGAGGGCCGGCTTGCCGAGTGGGCGTGAACGGCTGTGCGGCAGAGAGTGCACGAGCCACGGGGCGGCCCTGCGTGGTCGACTACGATCTGAAGGGCGTGGGTGCCGACGTCGGTGTCGGTCTGTGTCGCGGCGGCGGCCCCAGCGACGCGCCATGCCCTGCAGGCCGATAGCGTGCCGCTCCGCTCCGCGGGGCGGGAGGCTGGGAGAAGCTCGGGGCGCTGACACTTTGGGACTCGGACGTGGCTCGCGTGCCGCGCCGAAGCGTGTTGGGCCAGAACAGGCGGCGCGACACACTGAAAAAACTGTTCGTGGGGGGTGGGGGCGCAAGTGGAGGCCAAGGTGGGTCATACCCGGCATAAGCTTTCAAGCAGGCTACCCCTCGCTTCGGCATCCAGAGGGCCGCCTTCGGGCCCCGGAGCGACCTGAAAAGGATCTCCGGGATGAGCGCCAGCTTTCCCCTGGGGAGTGGTCGGGATCCCTAAGATCTGGGAAGCCGCATCGCCCGATTTATGAGAGTTGACACTGCGCCACACTTTTCAGCGCGCGGCCCCGGAGGGTCTCGACCCCTTCCCTGGGGATCGCTTTTCGCCCCGAACCATAGGCTGATGGCCCCGGGGCCTGGCAACAAGCCCCCGAGTCCGAAGCAGCGCCGCGGCTGGAAACCCTGAACCGTTGGAGACCGGGGGGCCCAGTGCGGCTCCAGCTTTCCCAGGGAGGCCCTCGGTGGCCGGTGGTAGCACCCCAAGCACGAGGCATTCAGGGCCTCGAGGGCTCCAAGGATCAGAGATGCGAGGGCGGAGGGCCTGGAGGGCTCCACGGAGGGCCTCGAGGGCTCCACGGAGGGCTCCACGGAGGGCCTCAAGGGCTCCAAGGCACGGAGGGCCTCGAGGGCCTCGAGGGCTCCGAGGAGGACCGAGATGCGGAGGGCGGCTCAGAGCAGGATCTCCTCTGGCGGCTGTCGGACACCGCAGGGGCTCGACCACAAGAAGCCTTCCACAATAAGCCCGACCCTGAGACTCCAGGACGTCCGTTGGCTTCTGGTGTGGGAGCGCCACGCCTTCTCCATCGCAGAACCATCGAAACCCAAGAAACCCTGGGCACCCTGGAGGCAAGCAAGGTTTCTCTTGGCATGGCCCCCGACCCTAAGGCGGATGATGGCTAAGGAGATGTACCAGCTCGGGGTGCTGCATGCGCCCTCCACCCCTCGCAGCTCGAACGTGATCCACCGTGGCCGACGGCGAAGGCTATTCCTGGCAGCCTCGCGCGCCGCGCCCCGCGGTGGGCCACGCGCGGCCACCCTCGCAGGAGCGAGGAGAAGCGAGGCCACCGGGGCCCCTTCCCGGGTGGTGGTGCCACCCCTCCTTCCTCCCACCCCCGCGCCCTCGCGCCGCGGCTCTCTGCGGCCCAGGTCGCGAGGCGGGCAGCGTAATTCTCTCTGTGCACCCTGTGGGGGTCCCCCGAGGAGGAGGAGCGCTAGTCAGCGCCCGAATGACTGGCCCCCGGTACCCTGACCTTCCAGGAGGGCTAAAGGTTATCCCAGTGCGACCCTACCTAGGAGTTGGAGCATCTAGGAAATGCTATGCTGCGCTATGCTATGCCATGCTATGCTATGCTATGCATAACATAGCATAGCATAGCATATCATATTATAGCATTGCATAGCATAGTATAGCATAGCATAGGTATGTTATGATGTGATATGATATGCTATGATATGTTATGCTATGCTGCACTATGATATGATATGCTATGCCATGCTGTGCTGCGCTATGATATGATATGCTATGATATGCTGCGCGATGCTATGCTATGCTATGCTATGATGTGCTATGCTATGATGCGCTGTGATATGCTAAGTTAAGCTGTGCTATGCTATGCTATGATATGCTGCGCTATGATATGCTATGGTATGCTATGATATGCTATGTTATGTTGATGCTGCGCTGCGCTGCGCTAAGCTAAGCTAAGCTGAGCGAAGCTAAGCTAAGCTAGGCTAAGCTAGGCTAGGCTAAGCTAAGCTAAGCTAGGCTAAGCTAAGCTAAGCTAGGCTAGGCTAAGATGAGAAAAGCAATGCTAAGCTAAGGGGACGTAACTGGGGGAACCGCGGGGCGGATGCCGGGAGGTCAGGGTAGCTGGCCCCTGACCCACCGGGCGCCTTCTTCTGGGGACGCCCCTGGCGGGCTCGGGGAGGGGGGGGGCCCTCGCCCCTGGCAGGGCCGAGGGCCTGGCCCTGGAGGCCTCGAGGCGACGACCCAGGCGCGCTGGGGAGCTCCGCGAACTTGCGCGTGCGATCGAAACACCCTCGACCACTCCGACCCTTCCCGCTCCCTTCCCGCCTGTGTTCTTCGCGTCCCGAACAAGCCGCGGAGAGCAAACAACAAAACCTCATGCACGCTCCACTCCCCCCTCTGTCTCCTACTCTGTCTCTCTCCTTCTCTCTCTGTTTATGTTTATTTCTCGTTATCCATCTCTCTCTCTCTCTCTCTCTCTCTCTCTCTCTCTCTCTTTCTCCACTTATGATACCTATACGAACACCCTGCGGGTGATAAGGAGGTTGGGGGGGGGCCCAGCAATGGGCAACAGTGGTGAATGTTGTTGTGACAATGTCAGTGGA